TGGTTTGGAAAATTCACAAATTCCATGAAGTGCTTTGGGTACACTCAGAGCCACTCGGATCACACTTTATTCTTAAAGCGTCGTGGTGACAAACTTACGGCCCTTATCATCTATGTTGATGATATGGTGGTTACCTGTAATGACAATGAAGAAATGAAGAAGCTCCTTGCTAGTGAATTTGAGATGAAGGAATTAGGTGAGTTACAATATTTTCTTGGCATAGAAGTTGCTAGATCAAAACATGGCATATTTCTATCCCAACGAAAATATGTGTTAGACTTGTTAACAGAAACTGGAATGCTTGATTGTAAGCCAGCTGACACACCTATTGAGCAGAATCACAAGTTAGGGATGTATCCAGATCAAGTACCCACTGACAAAGAAAGGTATCAAAGATTGGTTGGGCGACTGATTTATCTATCACACACACGCCCCGACATAGCTTATGCTGTGAGTATGGTGAGTCAGTTTATGCATCAACCAAGTAAGGCACACATGAATGCAGTAACTCGGATCATGAGGTACTTGAAGGCTGCCCCTGCAAAAGGGTTGATATTCTCCAAACATACACATATGAACCTAGAAGGATACACAGATGTTGATTGGGCAGGATCCATCACAGATAGACGTTCTACTTCTAGATATTTTACTTTTGTGGGTGGCAACTTAGTCACTTGGAGAAGTAAAAAGCAAAAAGTTGTGGTTAGATCAAGTGCTGAAGCAGAATTTAGGGGAATGGCTCAAGGACTGTGTGAATTGCTCTGGTTACGGAACTTACTGAAGGACCTTGGAGTTAAACCATTAAAGGCTACAAACTTGTACTGTGACAATAAAGCTGCTATCGAGATAGCACATAACCCAGTACAACACGACCGTACCAAACATGTGGAAGTCGAAGAAAGGGGTATAATTAAGTTTCCGTTTGTAAACTCGGAAAACCAACTTGCCGACATTCTAACGAAAGCCATATCAAGTAAAGTTTTTTATGATTCACTTGACAAATTGGGCATGCATGATATCTTTGCACCAACTTGAGGGGGAGTGTTAGTTAAGACAAAGACAAGACATAGACAAATCCCTAAACCAAGGAAAAGCTTGTCTACCATCTCTCATACTTTTCCATGTTTACATATCCATGTTTTAGGGAAACACAAATCCTGGAAACTCTCCATGTTTTGTGATCTTGGTTGTAACTAATAATTAATCATGTACAATTGTATATATCTCTTCATGTTAGTAATACAATGGCAGATTTGCATTCTCTGCAAAACCTCTCATATTTCACATTCTCTACTCTCTCAATTACACTATCTTTGGCAGATTACACCTGTGTGTTTGGAGCAGAGATCTTTGTTTATGAAGCACGGATACTTCAGTTCAGCTCTGTATCCTATATTGGATACGATTCGCATACGATATGCTCCAATACCCGTTGGATACGTATTGGAGTCTACGGATACGTTTTTTTGACACACTGATACGTGTATCCGACTTTTCGGATACATTATAGAAATTTAGATGGGAGTAGGAATCTGGAGAATGACCCGTGATAGGTTTTTGATTGTATTGCAACTTTTTATATTGTTTACAGTTGACTTGTACATAAAGTATATACAGAATCTCTGATTGGCGGTAGGATGAAGGAGATTTGATCCTGATTGAGTAGTAATTGCTGGAGGATTTACGTGGATTTGATCCTAATTATATTTTTAAGTGTCGTACCCATGACGTATAATATTCTAGTTTTTAAAGATTTTTCGTATCGCCGTGTCGTTTCATGTCGTTGATCCGTGCTACATAAATGTTTGTAAAGAGAGAAGTACATGCAAAGGAGTGTCTAACATTGATAAAGGATGCTGTTACGTACACACATGTTTGGAAAATTGACACCTTCTCGAAGTTACACCCCGAATTCAACAACTCAAAGTACGACCTTTCCTGATGCATTCAGTTCTCTTCCAACAAATTTTTTTGTTAACTACAAAGTATGACCTTTTCTGACAAACAGCATCTTGTCCCAACGATTTGAGGTCTTCCGTGACAAATTTCGACGGTAGACTTTCCTCGGCAAATTGTCATATTTCAACAAATCCCGCAGGGACATATTTTTCCCGGCGAATTTTGTTATGTTCCGAAATATTTGGACCTGCCACAACCAATCTGTTTCTTCCCCGACGAATGCTATTTGTTCCCCACCTTTCCCGTCAAAAGGATTTCTTTACCGATGATTTGTGGTCCTTGCCGACAACATTTGGCCTTTCCGACAAAGGGTGATCTATGCCGGCCACATGCCTTTTTACCCGACAATTGTTGATCTTTCCCGACGAATTCTTTCCTTTCCCGACCAATAAGGACCTTTGCCCGACGAAGTTTTTTATTTCCCTTCAAATTGTGACATCTCCAGGCGATTTGTGACTCGTTCATGACGAATTTTGTTCTTTCCTGACAAGTTCTTATTTTTCCCAGAGAAATTTTACCCACCCCTAAAATTTACCCGAAATACTTCAACTAATCTTATTTACTTATACACTAAAAAAAATTATTTACTTATTCACAACTTTGTATTTGATTTTCTAATTTTCCTTCTATGCCTGCGATAATAATCAGCCGTCTTATTTACCAAAAACTAAAACGGAATAATCAACAACCTTATTTACCAAAAAAAACAGCGGAATAATTAACCGCCAATCCACGTGTGAGAAAACTTTAGCCTTCTTTTTTTTTTTTTTTTTGGTTTGTTGGAAAAAAACTTTAGCCTTCTGGACATTGCGAAAGTGTGCAAGAGAAAATTAAAAAATAACTAAAAACTAAAAACTTAAATTCTCAATGTGAGACCTTGGAAATTTTATGGTGCGCTCTTAGAAACTATTTATGGAATTTTGGAGAATTTATTTTGGTTAATATGATTTTTGGTGTATTAACCAATATTTTCAAAGACGAGGCGTATAGGCGAGGCGTTTTTAGTAGCGTTATGCGATACGTAAGCCTCGAAGCGTTTTGAACATTAATTAGAGAGAAAAATAAAATACTTACTTGCAGTCGAAAAATGAAGATGATTCTTGAAATTGATGTAGATTATTTGGTAAGGGTAGAAATTAGGGTTGTACTATATATATATATATATAATTCCATGTAATAATATATTAATTTAGACACACAAAAAAAACAGGAAAAAAAAAAAGAGTAAGTAGAAAAGCTACAGTCGGCTGGAGATAGAAAAGACAAGAAGATATTAATTCTTCTTGCCTTAAGTTTATTACAATAAAGGGAAGATTTTTTTTTTTTAAAAAAAAAAACAGAAACTTGCGTGTGTGTATTTTTCAAAACACTCCAAGTGAAACGACGTCGTTTCACTTTAAGTTTTTTCTTTAAACACTTCAATCGAAACGACGTGGTTTCATTACAATAAACCTTTTTAAAAAAAAAACACGCGAGTCGTCTTCCTCGCAAAGTCGTCTTCCTCGCAGAGCCGCAGCCAATCTACAGAGTCTCAAAATTTCTTCCGCTTCAGAGTGCCCAGATCTGTCACGCCTTGGTCCGCCTCGCTCCGCCTTGCAACGCCTCCTCACGCCTTCCCAGCGCTAAACGTGCAACTCGCGAAATAGCCGACCGCCTCGGGCGATTTCCTGCCGCCTCGCTCCGACGCGCGCGAAGGCATGCCTTTGAAAACACTGGTATTAACCGAAAAATTCTAACGTTTCCTGACGACACTGAAATTCTGGCCTTTCCTGACTAAAATGATGTCTTTGCTGACAAAATGGGACATGTATCGACAATTTGGCCTTCCCGAAAAATATGGACCTGTTCCGGCAAATGTTGACCATGCCATTTTTTTCTTATCCGTCAATTTATGGCATTTCCGGACGAAATGTTGTCTTTGTAGAGAAATTGTGACCAGTCCCAACAAGTTTGGCCTTTTCCGGTCCTTCCTTTTAGTTCTTAACTGCGTACATGTGCACAGTCCATTATTATGAACTTTAATTCCTTGGACCATTAAAAAAAAAACCAGAAGGGGGATTAATCTTGCCCCTTTTTTTTTGGTATCTCATGGTGGTTGTGGATAGGTTACAGTCTGGTGGTAAATCAGTAGGAGAAAATTGGAGAGCTGAATTGCCTAGCACAGGGTTGGGAGTGGGAGTCATAGAGCAAATGAAATATGAGAAAAGAAATTATGTGGCTTGCTTGGCAAGGCAAATGCTCTGGTGCAGTGTGTATATGTCTGTAGTTGTTACTATGAAAATTAATTTTGAACATATGTGCGCGTATACGATTTTCAATTGTGAGACATCCTAAACATCATGTATGACCACAGGCCATTGATGGCATGGTGAGTCTGTGTTGAGGGAGCACAAGCAAAACACCCTCACGTGTGTGTTGATCTAGATGTGTTTATTTCTGTGCCTGTTCAGTTTGTTTGTTTCTCGGTTCTTGTTTGCAGGTACATTAATTGGAGGAAGTGAGTTTGAAGGACGTTTTTCTCTAATTAATGAGGCATGTTCACTGCTTGTAGGCTATTGCTGGTTCAGTGCCTCAAGTCCGTGCAATGGTTGAACATTCATTACAGTAGAGGACTTTCTCAGGGAGTCAGCCGGCTTCGGGCTTTTAGTGAAGGATACTGGATGGAGGCAGAAGTTACCGTCCATGGAATTGTTAAAGCATAGAATGGTAATTAAGCTTGTGGTATACAAAGCTATGGGGGTGTAATGTATTGTCAATCCATTTGCCGTGTTAAAACACAATCCTTAATAAATGATTGTATGGCATTGTTTTACTTATGAGTTATGGCCTTCTTGGTGAATAATACGTGTACCATTTTGAGTACATGTTTCAGAGCACCTAAAAGCAGGTCAAGGATACCTTTTCCTTTCAAGAAAGACAATCCTATGGAAGCAAAGCATAACAGTTCTATCCTTAAAAAGTTTCAAGTTTAGAATAACACCTTAAAATTTTTCCTTTAAAAACAGAAAACCCATTTTGGTTCTAACACAGATAAACCCTTTCTCATTTCTGTAACTAGTATCAAATTATCATCAAATTAAGTTCGATGGTCAAGCTTGTTTCATGATGACTAGTCTTAACTTCGATGCCCAAGATGGTAAAGATGCTCTGTGTGTTGAAAGTACTAGCTAAGTACGAGCTTATTTCCTTGTTGTTGTTGTTGTGTTGCCAATTAACATTTAATTGCAGGGATTTTGAGAAGCTTTTCGGATGCACCACCAACTCATTACACAGTAAAAATACAGTCCCTTTCATTGCTGACCAAAAATTCTTTGGAGAAATATGAATCAGGGGACTTTGAAGCTGGAGGGTACAAATGGTTAGAATTCATTTCCTAGACAAAGTTCCAACATCTCTGTCTTTTCTCATAATTTTTATTTAGATTAGTTGCCAGTACTTTCTTATATTCAAGCTGCATTAATGCAAAATCAATTGTGGTTTTGCTACAGGAAACTGGTTTTCTATCCAAATGGAAACAAGAGCAGGAATGTGAAAGATCACATCTCTCTCTACTTGGTAATGTCTGGTGCAAATGCTACCCAGATTTCTCGGGAAGTGTATGCTGTTTTCAGGTTGTTTTTACTTGATCAGAATAAGGGCAACTATTTGGTTCTTCAAGGTACCATTTACTTCCATTAATGCATAGAACAGATAAGCGTAGATGTTTCTCATATCTGCAATGCATTGTCTCATTTTCTGACATCATTTTTTTTTATATGACATCTCTTAGAACAAAATGAAAGGCGCTTCCACGGGATGAAGCTCGATTGGGGATTTGATCAGTTCCTCTCTCAGAAAGCTTTTACTGAAGCTTCCAATGGATTTCTCTTAGATGACACCAGTGTGTTGGGAGCAGAGATCTTTGTTTGTAAAGAGAGAAGTACATGCAAAGGAGAGTGTCTATCAATGGTAAAAGATGCCGTGATGTACAAGCATGTTTGGAAAATTGACAACTTCTCGAAGTTAGATGCGGAATTCTATGACTCAAAAACGTTCATTTCTGGAGACCAGAAATGGTATCCCTACATAAAGCTTTCTTATCAATCATCATATTAAAGGTTTTTTCCAACAAAAAAAATTGCTCGAGGATCAAACTTTAAATCGTAGGTAATCTAAAAGTATTCTTATTCTTCGTGGGCTGATTGTTGCAGGAAGATTCAACTCTATCCCAAGGGAAAAGGCAATGGAATTGGTACTCATCTTTCTCTTTATTTGGCATTGGCTGATCCGAAATCTCTTCCTCCAGGCTCTAAAATCTATGCAGATTTTACACTACGGATCCTGGACCAAGTGAATGCAAGGCATCAGTTTGGTAAAGGTAATTGGCCTAGTGCTATTGCTAGATAGTCATGAGGTTTCTTTGGTTATGATGTGGCTTCTTTCGTTTCATTTTATTTTACCTTTTCAACTTTGTTTTCAATATACTCAACTGGAAATCCTTCTTGGCGCTTGTAGTCAACTTCTGGTTCAGCGCCTCAAATCCGGAGTGCGGTTGGTGGAGATTCATAACGCTGGGATTTCTCAGCCAAGCAGGCATGGGGTTTTTGTCGAAGGATACTTGCACCGTGGAAGCAGAGGTCACTGTCCATGGAATTTCTAATGCCCTGTAGTATGAAATTAAGGGGTTGAATTTTCTTCAATTTTCTCAAATGTTTGAAAGAATAAAAAAAAAACTCATTTCCTTGTGACATGGTTGTGTCTCTTCTGTTGTGAAAGGCTTCTTGATCCTCTGCTTTTCCTTGTTTTCCTTTTTTTTTTCTTCATGTAACTTCTTCAATTATTACAAATTTTATAGTCTCTGCTGAGTTGTATGGAAAAATATATTGAAAATAGAAAAGAAAAAGAAAAAGGCCAGCACATTCTCAGAGCAGAAAAAGCATGGTTACAAGTTTTCTTCTTGGCTTGTTAGATAATATTGGTCCCAGTAATATGATGGATGTACATTAGTTAAAAATGGACATGGGAAAGGTAGTATGGCATTATCAAAGGTTATGAATTTTACAGTTAGATAATTAGGGAAAGGAACACAAAAACAGAAAACCAGCATCCTCCTTGTGACTTTCATACATGGAATCCATATGACTGGCTGTACTGAAATCCGAAAGGATCATCATATAACACCGAAAAAGTAACAGAAGCAGAGCTCTCTGTTTTTCTAAAAATTATAATCTCTGTTTTTCTAAAAATTATAATCTCTGTTTGTTCTCTTAGCAGAAGAAACCTTGACCTTGTAGAATTTGTCATCTTTGAAAGTAGAATTTTTAATCAACATAAATTAGAATTTGTCATCTTTGAAAGAAGGAAGATGCATAGCCATCTCCGTACTCTGCTCCTTTCTTCCTTGGTTTCTACAGAGAGATCAACGGACATGCGTTACAGCATGCAGAAAGCTACTTAACAATGCAATGACAACCCAATGTTGTTCGGTTTAATAAGAATGTGCAGGTCTAGGTGTGGCAAGAAAAGGTGAGAGTATACTCTCTTCAACCTTAATAAACAATAAGTACATGATTCAAAACACCTACAAGCAGGTCATGGAGACTTTTTCCTTGAAAAAAAAAAAAGAAGATAATCGTGCAGAAGCAAAGGCATAACAGTCATATTCTTAAAAAGCTTCAAGTTTGGAATAACACCTTTTATTTCTCCTTTTAAAAGCTGCAACCCCATTTTGATTCTTGTAACCTGTAACAAATTATCAGCACCTTCAAAGTTCCACGGTCGTCAAGTTTACTACCATGAGCATGAATAACCTTAACTTCGATGACCAATACGGTAAGGTGCTCTTGCTATCTGTTTGAGTGTGTGCGTTGAAAGCACTAGCTAATGTAAACATGGCATGTTATGGACACCAAATGTACATACATCACTGATACTGATACCTTCTACTTGTGTTGCCAACATTTTAATTGCAGGGATTTTGAGAACATTTTCTGATTCAATGCCAACTCATTACACGTTCAAAATACAGTCGTTTTCATTGATGTCCAAACATTCACTGGAGAGATATGAATCGGAGGACTTTGAAGCTGGAGGATACAAATGGTATGATTCTTTCTCTCGTTTCCTAAACAAGTTCTTATACTTGTGAGACTCTGTATTTTCTCATTAGCCTTAATTTTATTCTTATTTCCAAGCTGCATTAGAGTACTCTCAATAGTGGTTTTGCTACAGGAAACTGGCTTTTTATCCAAATGGAAACAAGAGCAAGAATGTGAAAGAGCACATCTCTCTTTACTTAGTATTGGCTGGAGCAAATGGCCCCCAGACCTGTTGGGAAGTGCATGCTGCTTTCAGGTTGTTTTTACTTGATCAGAACAATGGCAAGTACTTGGCTCTTCAAGGTACCATTTCTTTTCATTTAATTCCTATACAACCAGCAGAGAACATATAAGATAATATTTCTTATATATTCAAAGCATTGCCTCATAGCCTGATTTTTTTTTCTTTTTTTTCGGTCATTAATTGCTTAGAAGAACAAAAGGAGAGGTTATTCCATGGGATTAAGCTTGACTGGGGATTTGATCAATTTTTCTCTCAAAAAGATTTCACTGATGCTTCCAATGGATTTCTTGTGGATGACGCCTGTGTGTTTGGAGCAGAGGTCTTTGTTCGGAAAGAAAGAAGCACATGCAAAGGAGAGTGCCTATCAATGATCAAGGATGCCGTTATGTACAAGCATGTTTGGAAAATTGAAAACTTGTCAAAGTTAGATGAGGAGAGCTACGACTCAGAAACATTCATCGCTGGAGACCAGAAATGGTGCAAAAGCCTCCTTATTGATTAATATATCCTTCTTGACAGGCTTTTTATTTCCTCCTTGGTCTATCACTCTCTCTCTCTCTCTCTTTCATTGTGCAAATTTTACTTGCATGAAGATGGTAAACAATCACTTGTGTTAGAGAAAGTTTACCAATAACAAAAACAAAACAAAACAAAAGGAGAGATGTTAAGGTTGCAGATGAAAACTAAACTTGCTGTGGAAGATATTAATTAAGTGCAGGTAATCTAATCGAAAAATGCTTGTTGCAGGAAGATAGAGTTCTATCCCAAGGGAAGAGACGATGGGAAGGATAGCCATCTTTCTATTGATTTGGCATTGGCTGATCCCACATCTCTGTCTCCTACCTCTAAATTATATGCACAGTTTACCCTTCGCCTCGTAGATCCAGTGTACAGCCACCGTCACTTTGAATATGGTACTAAAGGTAAAAAGATTGGCCCAATTCTATGATCCCCTACACAGTGAGGAGGTTTTAAAAAATTGGTCTTTAGCCCTTCATTCATTTTTTTTCTTCTTTTTCATCTCATCTTACAGCTACTTGGTGGTTCAGTGCCTCCAGTCCGAAGCGGGGCTGGCCGAAATTCATTACACTGGGAATTTTCAGTGATAAGAGCTTGGGGTATTTGGAGAATGATAGTACCATTGTGGAGGCAGAGGTCACTGTGCTTGGAACTGCTAGTGCGCTAGACTAAAATAAATAGTAAGCTCCTGCCTGTAGCTGTATGTATCAAAAACCATGTCTCAAATATATTCATCACTTACGAATAATATGGTTGTATCACTTCTTCAGACCTTAGGTAGTCCGAATAATGGTATCATTCCTTTTCTTTTCTTTCATGCAACTTTTTCTGGCATGTAACTTTGCTTCTATGGAATTTCTAATGCCCTATACTATTGTATGAAATTATGGGGTGTGATGTTCTCAAACGTGTGATCATTCACACGCTTTTAGTTATTCTGAAAGGCTTCTTGGTCCTCTGCTTTTCTTTGTTTTCCTCTTCTTTCTTTTTTCAGTGTAACTTCATCCATTTCATAACTACTGAGTATTATGGATACATATAGAAAACAGAAAAGGAAAAAGAATATAGACAACCAAATTCTCAGAGCACAAAGCAAATTTACAAGTTTTCTTCTTTCTTGTTACATAACATTTTCTTTTTGGTTGAAACTTTTTAGATAACATTGAACTTCTTCTTGTTATTCATTAAAAAAAAAAGGGGTGGGCATTGGAAAGATAATGTGGCATTATTGAAGGTTATGAACTTTACAATAAATCAAATATATATACAATGAACTGAGAATACAGTGAAGCAAGCCTCACAGGCCGTTCGCATTGAGAACAAGTTAACAACAGATAGGTACAAGTTACTGATATGGACGATGAGATGAATGATTAAGGGAGGAGATGGAAAGATTAGCCCAACGTTTTCTCATGTTCATTAATTAGTCAACTAATATTTAATTATCTCATGTTTATTCCTTGTAAATCTCTTCTTTTTATCTTGACAGAGTTATGTCTCTATTCTATGGTCTCTTTGTAACTATTATCAATTGTAAACACGTTCATATAAGTAAAACACGACAATTAGTCAATTAATTTTCGGCACTGATAGCCACGGAAGCTATGCTTAAAACCACACACAAAACAGTGGTTGTCATGTTTTACTTATATGAATGTGTTTACAATTGATAATGGGAACAAATAGATCAGATAGATGCATAACTCTATCAAGATAAGAAGAAGAGATCTACAGGGAATAAACATGAGATAATTACAGCAGATAAGCTAAGAGTTTGGAACGGATGTACTTTATCAGAATAAGGGCAACTACTTGGTTCTTACCATTTACTTTCCTTAATTTATAGGACCGATAAGCTTATGTTTCCCATATTTGCAATTTATTGTCTCATTTTCTGATATATTTTTTTGTATGGCATTGCTTTGAACAAAATGAAAGGCGCTTCCACGGGATGAAGCTTGATTGGGATTGTTGTAAAATTGGCTCACATTTAGTATGCAAGCGAAGGAGTGAGCGACCGGTCGCAAGGTTTGGGCGACCGGTCGTTTAGAAGCAGATTCGAAGTCTGAAGAATTCGCAGAAAGCGACCGGTCGCAGGTATCCGCGACCGGTCGCAACGTATCAAAAACGTATCCGCGACCGGTCGCAAGGTATCCGCGACCGATCGCTTCAGTGCTGTGCTGATGTTTTCCTTACGTGTTTTCAACTACTTTTTCGGTGGCTATCGCTTTCCACAAGATTTCAGAGGCTTAATGGGTCACTTCTGAGTTGCAAGAAGGTGGACTACCTGCTGGATAGTTAATAAGTAATGGGATGTAAAGCAAGACATTATAAGATGAGAAAGCAAGTTGAAGGAGGTGTGGTTAATCTCAAGGTGGTCAAGTAGCTGGGTGCTATTGTGTTCAAAGGAGGTTAACTCACCAAGGGAGAACGTGAG